ATTTTGTCCCCCCCAGCCTGAGTGATGGTATGGTGGTCAAATTTTTGGGAGGGAAACACAACAGCCACTCGGACTTGCTTGCCTTTTATTACTGTTATCATTGCTAGTGTTTGAAATGCCATTTTTGCTCCTTTTGTACCAGTTACAAGGGATACATTCAATGCTGGGTCAGGTGGTAATGAATACATTGATAAACACATATCCTGCCAAGACTTGGCATTAAGGACTAGTCTCTTCATCTATAGAAGGTCTTCTTTTAATTTTTGCTGTAAGGTTCCTTTACTTTTACTCTATTTTGGGGGCGGGGGGAAGAGGGGGGTTTCTGGTTAATAATCAACTTTGCCTTTTCTCTTGCCTCCTCGTTCTTGCTCCTCCTTCAATATTTTTTTCTTCATTTGTTCCTCTGCTTGCTGGTTGTAGCTTCTTTTCCCTAGAGTCTCAGGTTAGAAGTTTTCCCTTTTGTGGAGCCATGACAGGTGCCTAATTGAATGATGAATGTCCCTTTATTACTCTGTAATTGAACTGCCAGCTTTTTGATTGGTTTGTATAGATGGTCTGCTCCTCATCAAGCACTGTAGGGGGTTTGGTAGCTGGCAGCCTGGCCCATACTCCATCTGTCTAATCACATCTCTCCCACACTGGCTTTGGCAGAGGAAGAGGGCAGGATTGGAGGAGGAAGTTCTGGGGGGAAGAAAGTCATGCAAGATTATGCAAATACGCCATCGTGCCTGCGATGAGAGCATCATATTGCTACATGTGTCTTGGAGGCGAAAGGGAGGAGGAGTTTTTTGGCATCCTGGTTGCCTAACGTGACAGGTCCTCGATGAAGATTAATGGTCCTTCCCTGACTGACAGAGAATGGGATTGTGGGGCAGGATGGGTCATTCATCATACTCTGACAGGTGTCATTCAATCCGACGGCAGTTCCACACTTGCTCCTCCAGCAGTTCCATTTTTCTGCCGGTTAAGCAAGGAGTTTAATAACATCCCCAGAATTAAAACTCATTCTTTGTAGCAAGCCTGACAGCTGAAAATAAGAAAATCAATTCTTCATATGTTATAGCCCAGTTAACTGACTGGGGCTTTGACTTTAATTTAGACTCCAGGCAGAATTTCAAGCAGGGGCTGCTTTTGGAGGGAATCACCCATTAAAATGTGCCAGCAGCATTGGCTTCATTCTGGTTATTGCGGTGAGATTAAAGATGCATTCCTTAATACTACATGTCAACATTGCACGAATTTGCGCTCAAGCAGTTCTCATGGCTGATGTGAAAGTCTGCTTCCTGGAGGAGAATCATGTTGCTCTTTTACTCCTCTTATCTAAAACTGCCAGGCATGACAGCCACAAGTTGGACATCTTTTGTAGGCATACAAAGCCTGTAAGTAGAAGAGTTCCAAACTTTATGAAGTCAGGGGCTAAAGCTCTAATGAGATAAATTGGGCTGTTAAGGTTACTCTGGAATTCTGAATCCTTGCAATGACTACTGACAAAGTGAATACTGCTTTATCCTCACAACTAAAAGGATTGTTTTGCTGAAATGCATTTGATAATACTTCACCAACAGCTACTTAGCCAACATGTATGTTCTAAGTCTAAGTGAACCAGTGTAGATCAGAATCTCATACATCCACTGAACTTTGAAAGTCTTAATATTGTTCATAGTTCACAAAGTTGGAAGGGAAGTGACATTCTGTAGAGTTATCCCTCAGTTCCAGAGCCTGAGCAAGCATTTATTGAAACTTGGGATTTTTTTAAAAAAANTCCAATTTTGCTTTAGTCTGGGAAACTGCTAACTGCTGCAAATCTGATGGTCTGGACTTGAGTATATACAGTACTTCAGCAGAACTTCAAGCAATGCACTCTTAAAATGCAATCACAAATTGATTTGCCCAGTTCCTGTTTCTTTCTCCCATAAAGATGATTTGAAATGTGTCATTGCAGATAAATGATTTCTGCAGATTCTCAATATATTAGCTTGGTTGTTTCTTACTATTCTTTCTCATCTTAGTATACTATATTTTAATTTTTGTTGTACTCCAATTTTGCTTTAGTCTGGGAAACTGCTAACTGCTGCAAATCTGATGGTCTGGACTTGAGCTGTAAACCTCTGTCAACAAAAGCTCATACTCTCATCACTATGTGCTTAGACTACTATAATGCACTCCACACCAGCTTGCCTCTAAAGATAAACTACAAAATGTGGCATGGAGTATTGATCTATCAAGCCTTTAAACCTCAGATCTATGATACCTCAGGGTCCCTTTACTTCAGGTTAAAGCCTTCCAGCCCATGCATGCAAGCTAAGAGAGAATGCTTAAGGCCCCTGCATAAGGAGAGAGCAAAGAGATATGCAGCGATGCTGCTATGTTGGGGAACACATTCCCCTGGAAATGTACCCACCATCCACCTCATTTGTTTTCCTCAAACTCTTTTATATTAAGCAATTGATGATTTCATTACAATATTCTTGTTACAAATGCAAGCATTGGATTCCCATTTATATTAGGTTGATTATCATGTTCTGCATATTCAGCTTTTTATTTTGTTACAAACTGCCTAGTTGGCAGTTTATAACA